AACCGAGTATCGATCGGCTAAGTCACGCGCCATCGTCCGTTGAAGTCCGCCGAGTCGTCAGGATCTTCAAGGAAGCCTGTGACGGAGCGAGTCCGTCACAAAATTGTGAGTGCCCTGTGACCGAGTGGTTTAGGTGTCCGCCTTCTAAGCTGATTTACGCGTGTTCGAGTCACGCCAGGGTCGAACCGCGTCCTCTGGACCAAATTTTTCGGCGGAAGCCGCCGGGTCCAATTAACGACATTGCCGTTTCTATCACATTACAGCTTTTCCCTGTCGCTCAATTTTTCTCCGCTTTTATAGAATATTTAACTTTTTTTCTCGGTTTCAAGAGCCTATCAAAAAAACCAATTTAACATATCAAGTTATCGCCGCACATCCAGGTCAGAACGCCCATAGCAGGAAATGCTTAGGCAAGTTTGCCCAATCCCTTTTCGACACCAACTTTGCCTTCGACGAAGGTGCGGGCTTCGGCGACGCTGGGCTGCTCGGGCATCATGTAGGAGATGTCGTCCCACGGGTGGCGGTAGAGACCCTGCTTCAGGCGTTTCTGGTCAAGGTAGTGACCAATGAATCCGATGGAGCGGCCCATGACAAAGAGTCCGTTCAGCGTGCCAATGGCGATGTACTCGTCGGCCTCCTCGCGGCTGAAAGCGCCGCAGTTGCGGAGCAAATCGACAAAGGCCGCGCCGACGACGCCGTCCACGTTGAGAATGAGGTTATCCTTCTTGGCGGTCGTGATGTGCTCGACGGCGAGCGCGAAGTTGAGGACAGGGGTCGCCGGGAAGTGCTCCTTGCAGTAGTCCTTGATGATGGTGACGCGGTGATCGGGGTTGGTGCGGGACTTGATCTTGTGGCCGATGCCGAGGATGAGCTGGTGGGAGCGACGCATGTGGTCGACGTACTCCTGGGGGCTCATCCCCTTGTCCACGGCGGCCGAGAAGGACTGCGCGGCGCCGTCCAGAGCGCCACCGAAGCGGTCGCCGATCGTGAGCAGACCCGACACAAGCGAGGAAATCAGGTCCTTGCCGGCGCGCGCCGTGACGATCGTGTTGTGAGCGCCCGAGACCGCGGGGCCGTGGTCCGCAGTCAGCATCATGACCATCTCGATGAATTTGGCCGCGTACGGCGGCAGACGGCGCTTGAACCACAGCAGCGAAAGGACGCCGCCGACGCCGATGTCCTCGCGGAAGACCTCCGAGATGGCCATGCCCGCGTACACGAGTTCCTGGCCACGGTCGTCCGAGATGGTGGTGATGAAGCTGGCGGGCTTGCGGATCATGCCGAGCTCTTGGGCCCACGCGTAGTCGATGGGAATCTTGGGAGCCTCGACCTCAGGCTTCGGCACGATGGTCCCGCGCGACACGAGCTCCTTGTAAACGGCGGTGAGCAGATCGGGCATCTCCTCAAACGTGTTGGGCACGAGCACGCCGACCTCGCGGAGGGCCTGGTTCTTGGCGGCCGCGGTCTCGCGGTCGCTGTTGGCGAAGGAGCCCGCGTGGCCGAACTGCACATCGGTTGTGAACATGGTCGAGCAGATCCCGATGCACCAAGCAACAATGGGCTTCTTGATGAGGCCCTGCTTCACGGCGTCGCGGATAAGATACTCTTCCGTGCCGCCGACTTCGCCCAGTACGACGAGGATCTTGCAGTCGGGCTCGCGCTCGAAGCGCAGCAAGTGGTCCATGAAGGTCGAGCCCGGGTAGCGGTCGCCGCCGATGGCGACACCCTCGTAGACGCCGTCCGTCGTCTGGCTAATGATGTTGTTCAGCTCGTTGGACATACCGCCCGACTTGCTGACATAGGCAACGGAGCCCGCGCGGTAGAGCTTGCTTGCGACAATGTTATCCATCATGCCGCCGGTGTTGCCGATCTTGAAGCAGCCCGGCTTGATGCCGCCGACGGTGGCCGGGCCGATGATCAGGACGCCCTTGGCCTTGGCGAGCGCGTTCAGCTCGCGGGTGCGGCGCTCCGGCACGCCCTCAGCAATAATCGCGATGGTCTTGAGCTGCGGGGCATCCATCAGCTCCTTGGTCGACGAGTAGACCGAGCGGAACGAGGCGAAGTTAATGGCGACGTCGACGTCCGGGAAGCGCTGACAGGCTTCCTCGATGGTCGTGTACACGGGGACCAGCGTCTCCTTGGCGCCCCAGTAGAACTTCTGCACGTGGTGGCCGCCGAAGGGGTAGATCATGCACGCAACCGAGGGCTTTGTGCGCTGACACATGTAGTCAAAGTCCATCATGCCCTGGACGGCGCGCGGCTGCATCCCGTAGATAAACGCGCGGGTGTCGCGCGAGAAGGTCGGGCGGACCGAGGTGCCGGCCTGGGCGGCGAGCTTCGGCAGACGCGCCGGGTCAAAGCGGAAGGGGGCCGTGTTGGCCGGGACGTCGGCGCCCTTCAGGCCCTTCAACGCCAGCGGCACGATGCCTGTGACGTGCATCTCGGGACCATACACTTGCATGTCGAGCGACAACTGTTCGCTGATCTGGCGGATGAGCTTGAGGCCCTCCTGGTAGTTAGGCCCCGCGCGCCGCACATAGATCTTGACGTGGTGCTGCTTGAGCGCGTGCTCGAAGTCGCGGAGCGCGCGGACGACGCCCTTAAAGGTCGAGGCGACGTTGGTGAAGTTGGCGATGCCGCCACCGATGAAGAGGAACTTGGGCGCCTTGTCGGCGAGCGGCTCACCGCGCGTCATGAGGTCCATAATGGTCTTGGCATACTCATACGTCTGCGATTCGGACGGCGCGCCCGAGTATTCGCCGTAGTTCGCGAGCTCAGCGGTGAACCCAAGCACGGCGATAGCGTCCGAATAGACCACCGACGCACCGCCGCCGGCGACCATGGTCCAGATGCGGCCTGCGGGGTTCAGCACGGTCAGTTTCAGCGACGCGCCCGTCTTGGCGTCGAGGTCGGCAATGTACTTCTCCTCGGGCGTCATCTCGCGGCCGAACGGTGACGGGAACTCCAGCGGTGCGTCGGCGCGGGCCTCTGCCCACTTGCGGCCGACCTCGAAGTCCGCTGTCTGGTCGACCTTCGCGGCGAGGTCCAGGATGGCGACCTCGTTCGTGTCCGGCAGGTAGACGAGCGGGTTGATCTCGAGGTACGTGAACTGCAACTCCACGTAGACGCCATACAGCCGGGCGATGAACGCGGCCAGGGCCTGCTGGGCGGCCTCGGCGAGGCCCGCGCCCGGCAGCAGCGTGCGGACGATGTCGGCGACCGACGGGGGGCGGGCGGCGGTCGTCGGGATCGCGAGGCGCGTGGCCTTCGCGTCGACGTCGCCGACCTCGACGCCGCCCTCGTGGGTGAAGAGGATCTCGTCGCCGTCGCGGTGCGACTGGATGCACACATAGTGTTCGGTCTCGGCCGCATGGGCCTTGAACGGCTCGATCACAAAGGTATGCAGCATGCCCTCGGCGCGGTCGATCTGGCGGAGCTTGCCCGCGCGCTCGCTGATCCAGGCCTGGACGCCGGCCCAGTCGAGCTTGATTCCGAGCAGGCCGTTCTTGCCGCGGCGCTTGACGAGCTGGTCGGGCTTGCAGACCAGCGTCTCGGTCGTGACCCATGGCGACGCTGCCGCGCACTGCGCGAACTGATCCGCCACGTGGGCCTTCCATGCGCCCGCGTCGCGCGCGATCGCGGGATCGAACGCCACGCGGGCGACCTTCAGGCTCGCCAGTGAGACAGCCGGCGCGCCCGGCGGCGCAGCGACCTCCTGCTTCGGCAGCCAGTAGGCCAGCAGGCGTTTGCCGTCATACTCGCTTACGGCTTTGGCCGACATCGTGAGTCAGATCTCCTCGAAGGTGAGGTAGAAGTCGCGGGATGAAGTGAGATCGGGGACCGCAGGGGAGGGGATCGGCGGTCGCCAAGTAAAAAAAAGGAAGAGAAATGAGGGATGGGCTGAAAGAAACGCTCAAATCCAGTTCAGAGTGGGAGCCGGGAAGGGGAGGGTCATCCAAAGCGTCAATGCGATCGCGACATGGATCAGCCCGAACCAGAGGCATCTGCGGAGCAGACGGCCGTGCATTCATACGGCTCATCACTCGCGTCAGCGTCCGCTTCAGGACCTATCATCGGCACAGGTCGTCTCGGCGCGCGGTTGGCTTCTTGTCGCGTCACGTCGCGTCACGTCGCGACGCGCCGCGACGCGTCATGCCACCCCATTTGACTTTCTGGGAGGGGAGGGGCTGGCATGGCGCCGTGGCCATGGGCGTGACCGCCACGATCGCCGTGGCATGCGCGGCATGCGCGACGCGCACGGGCACCGGCTGCGGCCCAGCGCGTCCCAAGACCCCGTTGCTGCGCATGGCTTCGCGGCACCGAACCGCGTCGGCGCGTCGGCGGGCGCTCTCCTGTTCCGGGCAGCCGTCGCGGCGGCGGTCGCGGAGGCGGTCGCGGTCGCGGAGGCGGTCGCGGTCGCGGTCGCGGCATGGGCCGCGGGCGGGCCATCAACAAGGATGCAGCCGCCGTCCCCGTCGCTGCCTCCCATGCCGCGGCTCGTCCCGTTGCGCCTGGAGAAGCGTCCTCGCCGCTCCCGTGAAGCAACGCTGCCGACCCTCGGTCCCGAGAGTCCTGGCCGCACCATCCGAGCGATGGTGGCGACGGCGGGCGCCTCCCGCCGGCCGCCGGCCGCGCGCGGGCTTCGCTGTGCGGGGTGGAGGGCCTGGGCCAATGGGCGCTGCGGCTCCCCCGCCCGCGACCCGTGCGTCGCATCGGATCGCGGGTCATGTCGTGTCGTGTCGTGTCGTGTCGTGCCGTGCCGTGCCGTGCCGTGCCGTGCCGTGCCATGTCGCCCATGCCAGCGCCAACGTTCCCGCCTTCCACGGCCACCAGCACCGCTGCGGCTTGGCAGAACCGCCAGGGCCCATGCACCCGCTCGGGTCCACCCGGCCGACGGCGGCGGCGGCGGCGGCGGCGGCGGCGGCGGCGGCGGCGGCCGTGGGCTGAGGCCCCCCGCGGACCTGCCCCGCCGCCCGTGTGCCGGCATCGGGGTCGGTACACGCTTGCATAATAAAAAAAAAGACAAACAATCGCAAAGAAACCCGTGAAGGCGACCTCGGCGCCGCGACGCCGTGCCGCGGAAGCCCTGGCGCGACGGGATCGCCGCGAGCGAGCGCGTGGGAGACGGCCGGGGGGTCGTGGGGCGAGGCGTGGCGCGGTTCGATGCGGTGGTGCGAGGCCCG